TGGCCACGCATTATTTTTTTTTATCCAATGTCACCAGGGGGGCTCCGTATGCAACAATAGCTATGTTAGCATATAAATGTTTGCTAAGGTCTACGAACAACCGACACCCACCACAACACAGACTCCAACACAAAGTCCAAAGTCAAAGCTAACATTACTGCAAAGCTTGTAGAACATATTTTCATATTGTGCTTTTAGCTGGCCAACATAAGCTTGCTTGCTAATGTGAAGGAATTACTAGCTAGCTTACATAGCCTTGCCTTGCATTTCCAGGTTTTTCTATTTTGTCTTTTACTTTTACAGTGGTATCACATATGTCTCATTAGTTCTGGCTTTATCACATGGCGGGGCTGTAACGATGTAATCTGAAAAATCGGACTGAAATTTTTCAAAACCTGTTGGATTGATTGTCGTCATATTTCATATAATCATGGTTCCCAAAGGTGGACACCTAATAACTTTGGGATCCAGCGCAGTCATCAGGTCAAAAGTGTAATTTGTCCAGCACTTTTGTTTATGAACCAATACCTGCAAAACTAATGTCATGTAGTTTGTGTTCAACCCAAATCATTAGATATTAGCATGCTAACACGCTAAGGTATGCTGGTACCGATGGTTAGTAATTAGGTACTTTAGAAGTATATTCTTGATAAATTATTACTTACATTACATAAATTACATTATTCTTCTAAAGATCTGCTGAAAATGACGATTTCTATGCAGATGACACAATTTTATATGTCCCTGGTCCCACTCCAAACTAGGCTCTTACTCATCTTCACTCCGCCTTTAAAACTGTTAAGATGTATGTTCTTAATCATACACTCAGGTTTGAATGGACTGCACTAAAACTGTGGGTAATTATGTCATCCCAGATGATAACACTCTATAAGTTTGGGGATCTTGTGCGATCTGCTTGCACACTGTAATATTATGCAATTCACACACTATTGGTTTCATACTTAAGTTTCTAACATAATAAAAAATCTCACATAACACGATATTATAATCGTAATTCTTTTGAGAATTTGTAGTATGATACTCTCACATGTAATGCAGCTCTCAACCTGATTCAGTGTTTTGGTTACAACATTTTAATCTTCCTGCCCGGTGGAGAAACAGAAGAGGTAACACCAAATTGCTGGGCAGATCAAACCAGATTGCGGACAGCAACAACACACAGGTGTCACTGGGGCTCACTACACCTAAACTGTATATCACACTGAGAATCAGATTTCCCCCAAACCTGAACAACAGCACTCCCATTATAACCATGATGGTGTGGAAAGCCCTCTGCTTTGATTGGTCAATGCGTTCCCTGTTCCCACCCACTTCCCCCGGTCCTGGACGTTTGAGAGTGTGGAGAACTGAAGTGCAGCAAAAAGAGATGACAATTAAGAAAAAGACCATCATGCAGACATACAAGATCAAGTTGGACTGTCTGTCGGTTTGATACAATACAACAAGGCACCCGAAGCTCAGTAACCAAACACATCCAATGCTGATGTTTCTGATCTTGACTCCGCCTGACTGTCTGAGGCCCAGGTAGGTGACTGGATGAACAACTGCCAGGTAGCGCTCCACACAGGTCAGGAGGTGAAACAGACCCTGTCCGAAGGAGGTGACAGTCCAGACGCAGCGTCCTACTAACATCACCTCTGAAAGATTGATGACTCCGCCACAAAAAAATAAAGTGAACCCGAAGACTTCATTCATGTGCATGGCAATGGAGTGGTAAGTGAAGATGTCAGAGTGACTTGTTGCAGCCATGGAAATGGAGCGCTGTTTCCTCCACTGTTGGAAACCCAGGTAGAGGATGAGGATGAAGACTGGGAGGAGCAGGAGGATGTAGGTAATGGAGAAAGCAGAGAATTCGAAGATGATTGCACTGGAATCGGAGCATGTGGTCATGAGAGGATGGAGGGACGAATTGGAGGAGGAGAGGTGAGCCAAGGAAGAGTTGACTGACATGTTTATCAAGGATGCCTGAACAAAAGGGGGAGGTGAAGAGAGACAGAATGTTAAAAATAATGTCACTAATAAAAGGTGCTCAGCAACCATCAAAAAAATTAATTAAACTACCAAAAATAATGGTCACAATTGACTCACATTTCGAAGATGCTTAAAATATAAAAGCGATACATATAGTCACATCTTAATTTAGCTATTGTTAACAAAATGTTAGCTAACGTTAGCATGTGTTTTGTTATCATTAGCTAGATAATTTAAGATGGAGATACTGGACTAGCAAAAAGGGGCAAACTTAGGAAGGGTTGTGTTGTTGAGTTGAGTTGTGTATGGTATATTGTGTTGGTGACAAGATCGAGAGCTTGTCTATGAGTCCCTCTCTGGACAGGGTTCCCATGTGTCCTAAAAATCTGTAAAACCTTAAAAATTTAGAGACTAGTTTTCCAGTCATGGAAACACCTGAAAATGTATCAAAGTGACCAAATATGCTGTAAATTAACTATGTTGTCCTGCAACATTTTAATTGTATTTCAGCCACTTACTTTATGTAAATCTGGGTGTTTGAAACTCAACTGTTGGAAGGAGAATCTGTGCGCTGTGACACTCCTATTTCAGGTTCACACCACTTACGGCAAACTTCTCTATTTTATAAATGCTGTAGACGGTCACATTTAAATGCATACAACTTATTAATGATCAAATTTACATTTGTTGCTGTGGTTAATAATTGTTAATTGTACATGCAACAAACACATTTCTACCTCTTCTTTTAATAAACTAATAGGTTAGAAGAAGAACTTTCTGTGAAATAAATTCTACTATATTTGAACTGTTATTTATGGGCTCTGGCTAAATTAATGTTACAGTTCGAAGAAAACTATAACTCTGCCTCCCTGAGGCCGCAGTGGAAAAATTTCATGTAGTGAGAACAGCCAGGCTCATCACAAACATGAGCTAACGTGGGGTTTCATTTTTGCAGGGACAGCAGACAATTAAAAGTAATTACACCAGAGTTAGCTAACGGCTAATTTGCATATGTTGTCCCTGGGCAGGTAAACAATAAATGAACACAGAACAGCCCAATACAGTCCATCACTGTGAGATCATAAATATAATCAATATGATGGAGAAATGAGCTGACTGCTCAGTTGATTTATGAGCTCAGTAAACAGTTTCCTGATGAGTTTCTGGTCTCGGTCTCTAGTTTCAGTCTTCTTCCATACAGCATGATGTTCATTTAGTAAATGATGGTCCCATTTAGAGGAAAATAGACGATAAAGCAGTTTATGCTTTAGGACGGGGCTACCTTGTGATTGACAGCTCGTTCTCAGTGAGTCTGTCCAGCTCAACGCACCAAACTCAGATCAAACTGGTTATGGATTTCCCAGTGTCTCATAAACCACCATTGTGAGCAATTGCTGTCCTGTA